CGGGAGATGCTGGCAGAAAAGGGAGGGGGTAAATTTCTCCAGTTCTTAACAGTAACTAAGTGTTACGAGATGCAGAGCGCAAACCGGGAGGATTAAGTCCTGCCGGAGGAAATTTTCCACAGGACTAAGGGCCACGAGGAAGGAGAAAAGGCGCAGGGCGTTTTTTTTTTTCGAAATTTAATTAATTATCTATGTCTTCTACAAATAGTTTCTGAGAAGCAAACTATGTACCTAGGTTGTAGTGTGGCCCCAGGGAGCACAGACCCGTATCACGCCTATTGGGTGTAGGGCATAAGCCTGATACGTAATGTATTCAATTCAATTCAATTCAATTCAATTCAATTCAATTCAATTCAATTCAATTCAATTCAATTCAATTCAATTCAATTCAATTCAATTCAATTCAATTCAATTCAATTCAATTCAATTCAATTCAATTCAATTCAATTCAATTCAATTCAATTCAATTCAATTCGCCTTTCACAGAGTTGTTGAGGCACGTGATCGACATCACGTGATACGTGACAATTATCGGCTCACTAGCCGTTACAGGTTTGATAAGACGGTGGCACATCACCTTGGCCAGTCTCCCAGGTAGATTTTGGCCAGCTCGGAAACCCATCCCACTTGAAACAGGCTATTCCTAGATATAAGCCAACAAGACTCGATTATATTTTTCGCGGCGCTGGTATGCATGGACGATAAGGGCGTGCTTGGGTAATCAATTTTTTTAAAACTTCCCTCCCGCGGCTGGTCGTGAACGAGGATTATCCGTTCCGTGCAGACAAACATTCCCTCGAGATATTTGTGAATGAAATCCGGGATAATAGTATCTGTAGTCAAAAGAGCCATTATGTATATACACATGACACAGGCTATTTATCATAGCTGCATAGTTGAATACATGTTAAATTACAGAAAAGGTGCCGCCGATGAGTGTTCAGCCTAGCTACCCTATTTCATTACAGGCGAAAGTATGTGCACGACTTTATATCCATACGGTAAAAAGACAAACTGATCTATCCATGAACAGGAGGTCAATCCAGGAGGAAAAAAATAGGAATTCGGAGGTGATTTTTATTTCTCAGGATGCTTTCAAATTCTTGGAATAAGCTTGAACCATCAGAGTCCGAGGCCAAGGTCCGCTTAGGCAATCACAAGTCGCCTCGACCTAAATGGTGGGTATATGGAGAGGCAAATACTGCAATCAAGATGGTGAAATATGACCACTTTGATTCACCAAAACCGATATATAAGTGGATCAATAACTCTTATCACCCACCGTCATGATGATGTTTCTATATAAACTTTCGAGAGAGCAGCTGATGAGTCTAGTACAGAGCAAAGACGAAATGTCTGACCATAGAATAGACTTGGTGGCAATTGTCAATTGGTCATTCGCTCTCGGTGTGATTGTGTTGACACACCTGTCCACGTGATGCCGTCAAAGACTTGTTCTAAGGCGTTCTAGGCTGTTGGGGACCAAAGATTCCTCGAACTAGGAGAAAACCTAAGATGCCTGTTACCCACGTCATGCTTACACCAGCCACTCTCGTTCACTAGCCAGTTATCTTTTGTTAAATTTTTGAATCTTTGTAGGCCCGGAGATCATGACGAGGAAGACTGTCCACAATACGGTCTCGACCTTGGTAAATGAGTGTCCAGTGGGATAAAATTCAGTAGTATCACTCGATTATTTCCTCGGCGTAAACGAGAGCATGTCAGGCGAGTGGCAGATTTGGCCTTGTGACCTTGGTGTCATGGACCATTAGATAAAACAGGTCGGTCTCTCGAGACTTTCAGCAACAACGTGATATCAGTTTTGACGTAATTATGTCACGTGTAATTCCCCAAACTGTTGTGAGTGCGAGAATCAGTTTTACGGACAGAGGCCATTATGCACACCAACAACCGAATCATTTAACAAGATTCTACAATTTTAAATGTTACTACGGCCGTACCGGGTAAGCGTAGTATGATTATTCCAAGATATAATGGCGCAACGAATTAACCCCTTGTCCCGCTCATCCCAGGAAACAGGGGCGGAGAACTGTGTCTGCGATCTAGACGGCCTTAATGTTACCTAATTGACAGTAAGCAGTGCTAATTTGGGACTACTACGTCCTTAAGCCCAAGGTTTCTCATCTGACTCTGCAATGTCATAGAATAGAGATTGTTGGACCTACTAAACCAAATGCTCTGTAGATTTCAGGTCCAGAAACACCCTAGAAATAACTACAAAATACTTACAAAAATCTCAGGGTTTTTGCACAAATCGCATGAAATGTATCTAATAAATTACATATTTATTTTCGGACTAATTGTCAAAAAAGCCTTTACTGCCAAAGCAAACAGTCGCAAATGTCTTCGAGACCACCAGGATAAATGTAGCATGTTCAATCAGTCGGCCCGATACCGAAACGTTACATTGGATGAATGAGTCCGAATATCGCCTAATCCCTCAGAAGCGCGAAGAGGTTATCGGTAATTTTGTCTTCAGCCAAGTGATGGGTCCAGGGCATCGGACCAATGGATCTAACCGGGATCACAGCCTCATGCATAGCTGGAGCCGTTATGTCAAGGTTACCTGGGTGTAGCAGATAGAAAAGAAATTTTGTGTAGGGGTTAACGGTTCGAAAATCACATCAAGCCAGAGGTTTTAGATCAGCTTAAGGCTTTGAAGTTTGGTTGGCATCTCAACACAAGCAGGAAGTTAGTGCAGGCTATGGCAGTCGATCAGACCGAGATTGCCTCCAAGGTCGTAACGACATAGGCTGCCAAGAGCCTTGCACCACACCTGTCAATAGACCCGTCCAAAAGGTCCCACCTATCACTGTCCTTGCGGCTTAAAGACTCATGTCAATTCCTCAATCGAGCCCTGACTTTCCCTTGGCCAGTCTCAGTCATCGATCTGCCATCCCGGATATTTAAAATCCTAGCTAGATAAAAGAAAATTATGGCAAACTAAGGTTTATCATCTACTGAGTGTCTAATTTTCTGTAGGCAGAAATCATCCCAATTTTCGAGATGCGACTAGAGTATTTATGGACCTCGTATCCACATCTGCCCGCGCGCTGTGTGGCTCATCCATGAAGCGTTAGTATCCCGAGCTCTCCCATCCTCGTCATCCTCCAACATCTTGATAATCTTTCCACCTGAAATCCAAGAAAGCTTCTGTAATCTTTCTGATGCTGTCTTATCGATATTTGCTTTGCCAATTCTCGGGCTGGCATGCATCTTTCCTATGCCGCCCTACACGAGGCTTTCTTAATGAGCAAATCCCCCAGTTTCCCAATTTAGATTAATTTTCTGTATTCATCGAACTTGTTAGTACGAGCGGTTTTCCATTTTAGTACTGAGTTGATCCGATTTTTTAAATTTGATACTTCTTAATTACTAATTATTTTTAGAGCATGAAAAACGGTTTTCTATTAGAATGCTTTTCCCTGTGAGAAAAAAAGGATTGCCCGGTTCTTCAGAGATTTGGATCGGGAATTCGATGATTAAGTTTGAAGCTAGACTCAAAATTTGCGCTTTTTTGTCTAGTTGTACTTAATATATCAAATACTAGCGAAATAATATTTAGCTTTAAGGAAGATGTCAAGTGTCTAGCCACTTTTTGTTACCTCTAAATACGAAGTAAAGGTCGTTCCTATATACGATAATATCAATATTAAATTGCAACTTTTTTGAATGGGCAAACGACCCTGTTCAACAGCAAAATATAAGCCTGTATAAACCTTGATCTAGTGGTGAGAAATGGAAGTCTTCCTTTCGGAGAGCGTTACAGTTCGATTCCAAAGTCTATCATCGAGCAATTTATCCCATCGAAGATCGAGAGCTACCTGAGCCGTAATGATATAAAATTTACTACATTTCGTCTTTATATATATTTTCTTGGCATGGAAGAGTAAGGAGACCAAGGAGCTGTGATTCAAATATATGAATCTTTGTTTAAGGGTCCTTGATTAAGCCGAGTAGTACCCATGGGATGTTGAGCTTTCGTCTTGTGGAATAAATTTGTTTGAACTTCGGTTTAAGTGATGCGTGAAGTAGTACATTGTAGAACCTGATACTAAGGGTTCTTAGTGCATGCGTTTAAGGTCCATCGATTTAATCCTCGCGCGGACAATCAGGGGTGAGTGTCCATGGGCTGAGCTAAGTAGCTGGAACGTGTCATCCTTAGGTTTTGGGGCGGGGGTATAATCACGTGTCAAGCTTTTGTGGAAGGAAGTGTCAGCAAGATATAGAATCTGAATTATGCGATCAAACACTAGTAAGTATCCTGTTGTTGTGCACACAATTTTCACCAGATCTAGACTCACCTTTCAAAATATTAATCCAGTATCTGGGGATAACGATCAATTCTGCCGCACCAGCTTGTATGCTTAGCCCTTCAGTGAACCAACAACAACATTTAAGCTAGATCCCCATTCTGTAAACACTGTGTCGCTGGATCGCCATAGGACAAAAGAAAGTTTACAGGCTAATTAGTCTTCGCTCCTTCCCACACTACAGCGCTTCTTACAGTGTATTCGCTGCTACTGCAATCACGTTGCGTTCTCCCCGCTATCCCGCCCCCTCCGCTCCGCTATGCCACTTTCTTCCTTTTCCATAGCCTGACTCTCTCCAGCACAAAATAACAAATCCTACAACCTTCTGAGAATCGTGGGCCTCTCACCCCAAAGAAGTCGGCCATTACCACAAGTCGACTCAACCGCTAATTCGGTGATCATAATCAACCTTGTCGCGCCTCGAGCGTATTTGGCACGAACTCTACTCAGACGTTTCACTTGCAGTAGCACACTTCCCCCAAACCTCCACTAATACAGAATCCCTTCAAGATACCTGGTCTCCCAGACTAATATCACAGATACCAATACTAGCGATCTACAATAATTAAAATCCTAATTTTTGAAAAAAATACTGGACAAATACCACTTGCCTGAACAATAATATCGTTGACATAACAATTCAAAACCTTGATTTGGCCGAGCAGGATGGGGAACCAGCCGTCAAAAGGCTCGGTGGTTGGTACGCCTAGACGTAAGAGCTCACCTATGACATCGGCCGATAATTTGCAGTCATATCCATCTTTCAGCAAAGCAGATACCAAGGACTCGAACCGTTCGTTCAAAACACTCAAGTCAAAAATACCTGGTACTAAAAGTGACAGTCCACGCAACTCATTAATCCCAACCGTGAGTGGCTCGCCGACTGACAAAGGCGATGGCGCATCCATGCGATCTGGAAAAACATCTAGATCACTTAAGTCGAGAGGTAGCATACCTGACGTACCAATTCTAGGCCGAGCATCAACTTTTGATGGCCAGTTAAATTCTTACATTCCTAATCTTTCAGAAGATCTCCATTCACCCACTGATGAGTTTTTACCTCCACCAACACCTGTCCGGCCCACTTCTGAACGAAAATCATCATATGATGTAGATGCAGCACGAAGAAGTGGAGAAGTTGACAACGTTTCAGATAAGCCTCTTTCAGGTCATATGAATACACTCAGGCCACTCGAGAAAGCCGGAGAGTCGATTCTAGTCAAGAACCCTTCTCATGAACGTACATTTTCTCTCGCAGATAATGGAAGTACAGCAGGCAAATTTCAAATCTCAATGGCAGACATAAGTGAGGCAGATGTGGACGAATACATCAGGAGGCTACTTGACACTGGATATGACGGTAAACAGACGAAAACAGTGTGCTTGAAGAATGCAGAGATAGTCACGATATGCGCCAAGGCCCGCGAACTTCTCTTGGAACAACCGCCCCTAATTGAAATCGATGCGCCAGTCAAAATCGTTGGCGATATTCATGGTCAATACACTGATTTGATTCGCATGTTTGAAATGTGCGGCTTTCCGCCGAACTCCAACTTTCTCTTTCTTGGTGACTATGTCGACCGTGGAAAGCAATCGCTCGAAACAATCCTCCTACTTCTCTGCTACAAAATCAAGTATCCAGAAAACTTTTTCCTACTTCGAGGAAACCATGAATGTGCAAATGTAACTAGAGTCTACGGCTTTTATGATGAGTGTAAACGAAGGGCCAATGTAAAAATATGGAAAAACTTTATTGATACTTTCAACTGTGTGAGTCTATAACAAGTCGATTAAATAGCGTTACTGATTATGCCAGCTTCCAATTGCCGCTATTGTGGCAGGAAAGATATTCTGCGTTCACGGTGGACTCTCGCCTGCGCTCATGCATATGGATGACATACGAAACATAATACGACCGACGGATGTACCAGATTTTGGATTACTCAATGACTTACTTTGGTCAGACCCCGCGAAGCAGACAAAAGAATGGGAGAATAGTGAACGTGGAGTCAGTTATTCTTTTGGAAAGAAGGTTATAACAGATTTTCTAGCAAGGCATGACTTTGACCTTGTCTGCCGAGCCCACATGGTAGTCGAAGATGGCTATGAGTTCTTTGAAGATAGGATCCTTGTCACAGTCTTTTCTGCACCCAACTACTGTGGGGAATTTGATAATTACGGCGCAGTGATGAGTGTTTCGATAGAGCTTCTATGCAGTTTTGAACTCATCAAACCTCTCGATAGCATGGCGTTAAAGAGTCAGATGAAAAAGGCTCGCAACAAGCGTAATACTATGCTAAACAGCCCACCGCCAGCAGCCACACTCGCTCAGAGTGTTTAGATCGGCCCAAAATTATACGGACAGACATTGATGAAAAATAGACAGTGTTTATAGGAAATGTTATCCTGCTATGCCCATATTGGCAAACCATTCAAGCGGGACGGAACAATGTACCGAATACCCTTTTTCACATTTAAGGGATGGATCGGGGAAAGGCCGTGGAAGTTGTTTATTTAGCGGATGGGACAGTGCATGAATGGTTGAAAATGGAGAAAGGCGCTTAATCTCAACCTCTTGGAACTTAGAAGATCGTATGAGCAACGGGATTGGTACAGATGGTGTTGGAGGCTTATTGTGTATTTCTAGATGCAGTTGTGGTGGTGCGAGGTCCTAGAGAAGTTCAACTCTCTAGGAATCCACAATACGACGGGAAAGTCGTGAAGAACGATGCCGGTAAATAAGTGTTGATAGATTTTGGTATTGATTCTCAAAGTCGCTGTCACCGTTGGCGTAGGCTGAAGGGAAAGTCTTGATATCATCAAAGCCTGGTTAAACACTACGCTCTCATGACACTTTGAGTGCCATTTAAGATTAATCTTTCTGTTATGGCTATCCGGTTGGGAAGCATAGATTTTGCCGGGTATTATCGTCGAGCGACGCAACATATTGTTAGACGTATTCTCGCGAGTTAAACAGCATTCTTCGAGTACCATGTACTTTGTCGGCTCAATTTGCACAGCCATCAGATCTACCTTTTATTTATTTAAAATTTTTTTAATACTCCATATAGATTCTACACATGAAAACTGGCACCTAGTCTTGCGCATCAATGAACACGTTGCCATATTTCGTGATAACGTTTATTCCATGTCAGCTTGTGGCTACATAGAACATGGAGGTACCCTATGTCAAGGGACCCAGGATATCTTTGTTCAAGATAGTACATATTTCCATTACTTCTTTACTGCGGCCTTCAAAGTATCATCCCTCCGAAGTCGCTTTTCCATACACTAAGAGGTGCCTTTTGGCCTGCCTCCTATCTACGACCAGTAAAACGAGGGCAGTTTTTTTGCATTAGATTTTAATTGCGTATGCAGCTAGCTAGCTATGACACAATATCAAAGAAAAGTACAGAATAGATGATTCAACGTAAGGGAAGAGTACTCATGCCTCAGATTTCATTTGCAAGTACCACTGCGAAGTTATGGTGGCTTTTTCTTCACCCCAAGTCAACCCTCATCCGTGAATACCCACCCAGGGAAACGTCTCAAAAACCCTGAGTTATCCAGACATGCCTCCATCATCTTTCAACTTTTCTGCGCGCGATATGTGATCTGAGGTGTCTCCTTCCCAAGTGGAGTAGGTGCCCAGGCTACTCAAACTATACCGGAGAACACCACCAGGAGGCGGACCACAACACCTTCCATCGTTGACTTGTGTTTATAGTGTCAGCTGCATTCTCGCAAGCGAAGCCTTGGCGCGCACAAAGCTCAATTCGTAAAACTCCATGCCAAAATTCGAAATTTCACGCCCGTCGAAAACGTATCCCTCTTCTGCATCATCTTGTAAACTTGTCCTGATCTCTCTCACGTCCATCCCAAAGAACTGTCTCCCAGATTTATGTGCCACGCTTTGCTTCCTCCGTCGGGTATAAATATCGGCGTGGGCGTGTATTTGGCGACCAGCTGAGGCCAGAGAAAGTCGATAGGAGGTGTGGTCATTGGGATGAGGATGTACTAGGTCGTACTTGTAGACTTGATGAGGCTTGGGTAGGTTTCGTTCTCTTTGGGACTGAAAAAATTGACATGGAGTAATTTGAATTTCTACCTCGTGGGCCAACTTCTTTGATATTGCGAAATTTGACTGAACTTGGCTCTGGGAGAATATTTCACTCCCAGATTCGTAGAGAGCACCACTGACAGGTGTTCAATCTTGATCTGCCCATCGTCAGCTTGTTTTTATAGTGTCAGCTGCACTTTCGCAAGCAAAGTCTTGGCGCGCACAAAGCTCAATTCGTAAAACTCCTTGCCCAAATTCGGAACTTCACGCCAGACGAAAATGTATCGTACCTGTGCATTATCTCATCAACTTGTCCTTATCCCTCTCACGTCCGTCGCAGAGAAGTACGAAGGACATTTGTAGGTGTACGGAAGATGGATAAACTTGCAGTAAGCCAATAGGTACTGAGCTATCTTAAAGCTAAAACAAAAACTTAATCTGAAGACATAGCTACTTCTCTGAAATCCTAACTAGCCGGGCACCACATACGTTTATGTATCCAAGAAATTTACTCTCTGACATTCTAACTTTGATAAAACTCCTTCCACCTTTAGCACTTCGGGATAGCTTAGTTACCGTGTTCAAATGCAACAATGGTCTCGACGTAGAACGTGAGCTGGGCGAGACTGTTTTCAACACCTGTCAGTTGTTTCCCCTACGAACCTCTAGCTCTCACTGCAGAGTCTGTAGATTCTACAGAGCCGAGATTAAGTAGCACAGTCCTCACTTCGACGTGGATTCCCAATCGCTTTCGCGGTCTATATCGTTTTCACCCCTCAATACATTCCCCTATCACCATTAACATGAAACCAACCACGATCATATCAGATGGTAGGATCGTAGCCCTACTCATCACCAAACCTTGATCACGGAGGAAAAGCCATCCGATGAGTTTCTGGAGCGTACCCAGCACCCGATACGGAGATGGTGGATTGGATCAAGTCGGCCTCGACTGTTACAAAAAAGGGAGATATAGATGAATATGCGCACTTCATATGGTCCCGGTGTCTAGGCCTCGCCTGGCTGGGGCTGCAGGTTTTTTGAGACTTTTTCTGCGCACGCAGTTTCCATTGCTACCATTTTTGTTTTCGTTGGGTAGAAGGTTCCGTGGAAAAGGTGGCCGAATTCCACGGGTAAACACGGAGCTGAATGGCTATTCATCACGGGCAATATATCAATGATCTTTCGAGTAATAAAAGAGGTAAGGAGCACTGTAAAAGGTGTGGCCTTGGTCAGAAAGGAGCCCAATGTGCTAGATAGTCTAAGACTCAAGTAGTACAACAAACACACCTCTCTATTTTTATGCGTAGGCATGACGATAAATAATCAAAAAATAAATTTTAGGGTTGAAGTGGGGATGAAAGGTATGCGTGAATTCGAACGGCATGATTTCTACTTGGTCTCTTAAGGATGTATCCTTGAGTTTTGCTGCAGAAATGTTTACAAGCCCTTCACATGACTGATGGTAATAATCCCTACGTCAGGCGTTGCCACTTTACATGAAAATTCTTACGACCATGACCTGCTAAGACAACCCATGACAAATAATTACCGGCACTCACATGTTCATGTTTGAAATTCGAAGGCTACACGAGGATAGAGATGCCTATTTTGTACAATCACGAATATTGGCAAGGGTGGGGCCATTCATATGTAACCTATTTTCCTAAATTTAGGAGTATGATCCATTCGTTCTAATCGTTTACTCGGACAAACCATGGCTTCCATGCTGAAAGCCCCATAATCACAGTCTAAATGCATCAGATCATTGATAACCGAATGCTCCTTCTTTTGGGACAAGAACTTCAAATACTCATACGTCGCGGTAATATCCGTACGTACTGAGTGACATAAATTTACTTGAATACCGACTGAATTGGGAGTGGCAAACATCTCACAGTCCTCGACCTATCAATTTTCAACTATACAACGGAACTATACGGATAGATACCAGCAGTAACTAGCTCACAGACAACGGTAATTTCCAAACTATAACTTCTAAATTATGCTTAGGCCGGTTATGGCTGTAAGTAGTCAAAGCCACCCTCGTTCGGCACGATCAACTCCGGTCAAAGAAGCTATCGGCATCAAGCCGGGCCATGTTGTTAGTTTTTTATCCTGGCCACTTGTTTTCAAAGTAGTGGAAAAGAATCGGAGTCTCTCATGAGAAATAAGAGAAAGCGTAAAGTTATAAAAGAACCCTACTGGCTCATCGCCTACCACAAGAAAAATAAGACTGAGCTTGTTTGATTTTAATCACCTTCATTCTTATTAATCTACCTAACGCTGACACCCCTATAAAAATAATTCTTCAAAATGCAAATATCAATCATATTTCTTGGTCTGCTAGTCACTGAAATCGTCGCCTCGCCTACAAGGCTATTTGCAACTAAATCAGTAAATCATCACATGACTTTTCATAAAACGTGGAAGAAGCCAGAGAATTTCAAATCGGAAACCAGTATCGATAGCTTTGAAAAGGTTGTGAAAGATTTTTTTTTTTCTGGGAAGGCTGCCGGTTCCAAAGATGCTTATCTAGCTCTACGTATAGGTAAAACAGCGGATAAGGATAGTAAGACTTCGATTGAGAAGCAGATTGAATTACTTCCATACCTTTCAGCGTCGTCAAAAAATTTGGCTCCAAACATGAACGAAAATGCGTTACATGGCAGACACACCAATAGTTTTCGCCTTCAAAATCCTTCAGACTATTAAAACTATGGGCAATATAGCTTTCCATATTTCAATCAGAAATCTACGTCTCACGAGAGCTATCTTTTGCGCGGAGATGATGGCTTTAACCATAGTCGTAGGTCTCGTCAATCTTTCCGCGGACGCAATCGCTGGCCGCGGGGCAACGCATGGACTATTTTGCTGTTTAAATAGGTATGATATTATTTTGATTTATATAGGTGTTAAACTGATAAGCTATAGCATAGAGAAAATTGAGGGTGTTAAGGAGTCGAATATTTTGATGTGAATAGAGTATTTGTTTTGTAACATCAATTTTTATCACATCATCGAAGAGTATAAGATCAAAGATTGCATCGCGACAAGCTTACTCAGTAAAGATAGATCAAAATCGCGGTAATGATTGGTTAGTTCTGAAGTTTATTGCGCTATTTGGGTCTAACTATCTAGCATGTTGGGCTCTTCTTTGACCCAGGTCACACCTTGTACAACGTTCCTTTCATTTTTCACGAAAATAAGATGTCTGACATAACACTCGAGGTTAGCCACTTAGTATAGTATTAATTAAAATGAAGAGTTTGTTGGTAAAACACGAAGTAATACAAATTGGGTGCCGTCACGAAGTTAGCTGTTCGTCACGAAATCGGTGAATAATGTCAATGAACTGGTATCTCGAAATACATAAAACGTTGTCTCTCCCTTCTACTCAATTAGGGCATGACCCTCAGGATCAACTGGCATATAGTTTTAATAATCAAATTAAAAATTAACCTATTAATTAGAAAGCTATTTAGATCTTTAAGTAGTCTTTCATATTCTAAGACTCACTGGAGACTTAAACTTAAATCGATCGAACAATCAATCAATCCCTTCTCCATCTCCCCTTTCCTGCTCTGCTCCAAGCGCCTCGCTAATGAGCTAAGTCAGATCCCTGTCAGTGTCCTAACGACAACCTGAATACCGCAATTAGATAGAACAATCCATACTGCCCAGAGATGATCCTTTTACCGATTGAGTTTGTAGATGTTCTTCGCGCACTTAAGTTCTGCAGCGGGCAGTCCTTAATAGTCAAAGTCTCAGTAGAGACGTTAATCTAATTCTATTCTATGGCAGGATTTTAGCCGCGAGATTAGGGTAACTGTCGGTTCATCACCGGTTCTAGGTTACCTTCGCAGCGACAGCTTGCTGAGCGTGGCCCAGTCGATTTCGATTGACACATGGGCTAGGTTCCGTTCCCGGCACGATAGATCAAAAGTTTAAGTTTGGGTCTCTTCTATTCAGTCTTTTAACAACTTCCCGATTGAGTTTGACTGGGAGGACTTTACGACTCACCAAGAACCATCCAAAATCAAAGGTAAAATTCCTTTCGCTTTCAACCTCACTAACATTGTGTGCAGGACTAGGCAATTGCTCGGCCTCATTTTAGACAAGCACCTCGACCGCGACATCAACATTCTCAACTTTTCGACACATTCTAAAGACGGCGCGAACGAAGAAGCCTCACTCAGACAACGAACAATGTACGACAAAAGCTGGGGCACCGATGCCTTGGTTTTGAGCTCTCGATTTGGAATTTCAGCCCTCTCAAATGGGGGTTGAGCGCAATGCAGGGGAGAATTTGGGAAGAACGATATGTGATTTTCAACAGGCTGTTAGCACAGTTGGTCGGGTGCTGGATGTGCTTTCTAGAAGTGGTAGGTTGGATTCCTACACGGCCTGTTTAAGGGGGTACCACGGCTGCTCGTCGTGAAAGAGTACAGGAGGAATTATTGAGGTTTTCCCACGAAGGTTTCCCCTCAATATATGGTCTTAGGATCATGGTGAATGCGTTCCTACCTATTCGACCCGATGTAACTAGCGTGAGGCACGTATTTGGAAAAGTCAGGCACCGGATGGGCTTTGCTGGAGAATGGAGGAACTTGTATTCTAGATGTCCTCCATGCGTGTCATGTCCATTGGATGGAGGTTGTAAGCCTGGCACGATAAATGTAACTAAACTAAACCGGTTCTAGGTTATGTGCTAGCACAAATATTAGGTAAAATGGTTGTTTATCAAAACTTATATCTATATCTATATCTAATAAGGAAATAATGACCCCTCAGTCATTGAGGTTGTAGAGCGCATTGATTCATGTAACTACCGAAATGAAACTAAGTACAGAATTTGTATTCACATGTGTGCTAACAACGTGACCTACCTGATAGCCTCAATTATTCTAGATTCTAACAATATCTGTATATATCATGAACAATGAATTGAAGTAAACTCCAACGCCGCACCGAAACCACGTGACTAATATCCGTATATTTTCCCCATAGCTTATTGTGGTTATGAACTATGTGGAAGTCATACTACGGAGTGATGAGGAGTGGATGATGTTATTGTTAACATTTCTATCTTGATATCGACCCGTACAAACATACTGTATGTTAGTAACTCATATTGATATTCAGGATTGCGATGGATAGCAGAGATTGATGGTGTTTATGGCAGTGCGGGGTTTGGTAATTAGTAATAGGGATATGACACGTGTATACATATACCGCGCACTTGAGCCCTCAACAATATGATGATGCTTCCTTTCCGCGGAGGGAGTTCACGCATTTAATAGCTGGGTGCGTGTCACAAATTTCTTTGGAAAAGCACAACAAGTCTGACCGAAAGGGAATCATGTGATTCAACTAAGTTCCCCCTTCCATATTGTTTATTTAATCTATTCTTCATTCAAAACAATCTGAATACATGAGAGTTGAAGGGAGACCGGTAACCATGTATAATTTAATCTTCAAGCGCAGGATGATAAGATCCTGGCTTTCATTTGCTTTGTTGGGTTTGTCCAGGCGCCAACACGTCGGGTAGTTTTATTTAGACTGAGCTAACCGGCACGTGAGGATCTCACGTGCTGTGCGCGGGCACGACCTTAGATAATAATAATGGTGATGCTTGACTACATTCCAATGCTCATACCTACTCTGGGCTAATCAACTCTTACTACATCGGTCCTATCTCATAATTAGTGCCTTTTCGCCCTTTTTTCTTAAATTACAGTTCATGATATTCTTCGTCTTGCTGGCCATCATCAATCTCAGAGTTATGGACAGATTAAATCTTTAAAAGTTATGTTTAGTTGGTAACAGTGAGTAAACTCATACAATACTATGCTTTAGGTATATGAACACAAAGTGTAAGACTAGACCTGTATCTATTTATCATGGACACATTAATGAAACTATATACATGTTCGCCTGAACAGTACACCAGTTAAATATGCGGAGGGCAGGACTGAACATGTTGGAAATATTGCGCAATGAAATGGGCGTAATATTAATGGAACGAAAGTAGAAATTGACAAAAAGAGTGTCATGCTCGGATTAAAGCTAGAAGTGTGGAAAGTGTGCGCTACAAGTACAAGTGTAAGTGACACATAGCCTAAGCCATAACATAAATGAGTGTGGCGCCAACTAGGCATAGAAAACCCCCCAATAACCTCCTTGTGCCCACGCCATACAGCCGCTTATGTCTCCAATAGGTAGCCTGAAGCGCTACCATATTACTCATTCCAACCTCTTAAATACACACAAGATCGTGTCGGGAACCTAGACGAAATTGAGGTCCCGTACGTCCACAACACTCTGTGTCTCCATTTCCAACAGAACACCTGTACGCGGTGTCCTCCACGAACCTGGGAGTGAAATATTCTCCTAGAGCCAAGTTCAGTCAAACTTCGCAATACTCAAGAGGTTGGCCCCAGAGGCAACGATTCAAATTACTCCACGTCAATTTTCCACATCCAACGAGATCGACACCTGCCTAAGCCTCATCAAGTCTACAAGTACGACCAAGTACATCCTCATTCCAATGACCACACCTATCGTCGATTTTCTCTGGCCTCTGCTGGTCATTAAATACACGTCCACGCCGATATTTATACCCGATATAGAAAGCAAAGTGTGGTGCACAAATTTGGGAGACTGTTCTTTGAGACGGACGTGAGAGGATTCGGTACAAGATCACAAGATGACACGGAGGATGGATAAAATCTAGACCGGCGTGTAATTTTGAATTCTGGCAAGGAGTTTCACGAAATGAGCTTTGTTCGCGCCAAGACTTCGCTTGCGAGAGTGCAGACGACAATATAAACACCGCCATGGTTGGATGGTGCGGTGGTACATCGTCTTGGCCGGTCTGCCAAGTAGAGTCTGGACAGCTTGGACACATCCCACTCGAGACGGTAGATCGCAGCTTCAAATCCGGCAAAACACAACCACTCTTCTCGCGGCGCTGGTATGCATGGATGACGAAGGCATGCTTGGATAACGAAAGGTTTCGAATTTCTGTTTGGTGGGTACTTACGGAGGATGGTCGACTGTTTATGTAAGCGAACATACCTCATAGTGGTATTTGCAAATGAAATCCAGAGTATGAGTGTCTCTAACGTCAAAAGAGTCATCCAATATGTATACACAGCACCGGTCATGTGTAATAGCTCTATAGCTGCATACACGTTAAATGATTTAACAAAAAAAGCTTCAGTCTTGCAAGAACAACCGGCGCAATTATTTCCGCCAAGTATGATTTACTTGGAGAAGCCACAATCTATAGAACCGTTCTCAGGTGATCAGGAATACGTAGTAAAAAGGCACAATGATCCATCAGGCTGGCCATGGTCCACTTCTGCTCCACTTAGTCGTCCGAGCCAAGGTGGAAGAGATCCTCAGCCAGGCTACGCAAGAGAGTAAGGTGGAACTAGAAATGCTAATTCCGGTAAATTTCCGCACTTACGGATGCAAGAAGTAAACGACTGGGGCCGCAATTACAACTTCACGTATGAACAGCAACACAGCCTTGACAGCCCTGGAAATAATTATGGCTATATTGAACTGCACAGAGATACTTTGAAAATGTTTGAAGTGGATTAAATTGTCTGTCCTCTTCCGATCTCCTCTCACTAGCTTATATACATGCACACCCTTTATCATCTATCATATCATTTCTGCTCGGCCTTTCAGTCCTAATTGAGCTG